GACAGGCTGGAGGGTCTGTGTTTCTTGGCTGGCAGGGAATGCCTTAGGATTCTCCTGGAAGAAACCTGCAAGCACTGACAGCTCAGGACTCCTGTCAACCAGTAGGAAGCATCCCTAATTATTCATAATTTCAAGCTTCATGAACATCTTAATGGATGAATTACAAAAAATAAATGATGATAAACGTGACTTCTAACCTAAAATGTTTGTTTTTACCAGGCAGCAAACACCTTTATTTCTGCTGTGAATTTGGCATTTTTAACATGGGAGTCAATGGGAACTTGCTCCTCTCTGGATCCAGCTCCCAGCGGACGAGGAGAGGAACTGCAATTGTTGTTGCTTCAATTTTATCAGGCAGATTCCCTCTGGGTGATGACAAATATGTATCCAAATGACCATGTAGGGTGTTGATTAGCTCACCGCTGTTAGAGAGTGACATGGTTTTGGTTTTAAAAACATTTTGGTTTATACCCATTTTTGGTAGATGTGTGATGTAAAGTATTTCTGTCCAATTATACCAGCAGCCCAATTTCAATATCCATGTGCAGTTTTCTAAAAAGAAGGAGCAGATTCCCATGATCTCAGCTCTTAGCTCTGCTGGGGTTCCACTGATGGTCCTCAAAATGTGAGTTATTTTGGAGGTCTCAACTAGTGATAAATACAAGAATGTGTGTGTGAGTGCATGTGTGTGAGTATGCATGCATGCGTTTGTGTGTGAGTGGATGCATATGTGAGTGCTTGTGTGTGTGTACATGGGGTGGGGGGTGGGGGGGGCATGTGTTTTATGAGCCTTTGGTAAAGCAGGTGTTTTAAGCTAGGTTCTACAATAGTGCTCATCAGTGTTGGGAGTAACGCCGTTTAAATATAACTGCGTTACTAAAGGCGTTCTTTTTTAGGTAACGGAATAATCTAATTAATTACATTTCCCACTGTTGCAACGCCATTACCGTTACTGGGGACGGAAGGTTGTGCGTTACTATGTGCTTGTCGAACGTTGATCGCCACACTTCAGCTGCAGCCAGGTGGTAAAACCTGGAGAAGTGTTGGTAACGCACTTACAAACACGTTGATGATTGGCCGGGTGGGCGGAGACCCTCAGTGTTCTCACTGTCTCAGTCACCGCATGTTGTAGACCCCACCGAACAGTGGAATAACGTTGTTTAAAATAACCACGTTAATTAAAAAAATATTTCTTTCTGTAACGAGCAAACTAATTAATTACCGTCTTCTTTTAACAAAACGATCGTTTCTGTTACTGATAAGGAAATGCGTGCGTTAAGCAGCGCGGTGTGTTGAAGCTGTCATGAGCCGGATGTCCCGAAGGTCCGCTCACCTGTTCACCGCTCAGACGTCCTGATCTTCTGCCTTCCTAGATCATCCAGCTGTAACCTGTTTCTGATCATGTCTTTAGCCCCGCTGTAACCCTGATGCATCAGTCTCAGACATCATGGAGCTCAGGTGTTATTAGAACTACCTGTGTGTGTTTACCACCCAGCTTCAGCTCTTCTGTGGTTGGGTCTGACCCAAGTTAGTAAATGTAAGTCCTCCATCAGGCTTGTGCCTCTTCTAGTGTCATTTTAAAGGATTTTATTTATTTATTTAACCGTTACTAGATTAGCAGCAACAGAAATGCTGCTAAAAACACACAATTATGTGAAGCTGGAAAAATTAAAATGCTGTGCAAAATTACATTTATTTCTGTAATTTAACTGGACTGAGAGACCATTTAAAGGCTCAGGAACCTTTACAGGTGTTTCTATTTGCAATTTTAAATGTTAGCTGATTGGGGTCTTGTTAAATATCACACAGTGACCTTTTAATAGTCTAGATAAGTATAATGCTCCTGTTAGTAGTTCCTCCTGTTAAGTGCTTATTCAATTAAATTATTCAGGTTTATAAAAAACATTTGGACATACATTTTATTATGTTCCAGTCATTACTCATTTATATTTAACTATTGTAGTAATTCTTGCATGCTTTAATGAAAAAAGTAACTAAGTAGTTCTTTTTCTTGGTAATTAGTTACTTTTACAATCTAGTTACTTTTTTGACAAAGTAATCAGTAACTATACTAATTACTTTTTTAAAGTAACGTTCCCAACACTGGTGCTCATACACACCTGCCAGAAATCCTGACAGTATGTTGGGATAAATATAGTTGGACAGTTCCTATAGGTCCTGTGACAACAATGACATTAACTAGATTCTGATTGTAACATTTTTGTATTCAAGCATGAACTCAGCTGCATGTTTCTTGTAGGGTTTGGTAAACTGAGTGCTTTAAGAGCTTAATAAATAACCGTAAATCCTCTAATACAGGCCGGTATTCAATTAAAGGCCGGGTCTCCAATTTTGGCCGGTGTCGGAGTCGGCGGAGGTGAATAATGGCCGGTCTCTTATTGTGGCCGGGTAGAATGTGATAACAAGCAAGTACGGGGGGCGGTTGTGTCATCGTCTCACTTTTGATTTGCCAGTGATAGACCGCGAGGGTAACTTTAACCGTGCGGAGATGAAGAGGAGACGAAAATTTGATATCAAGTTCAAAGAGAACGTGCTGATTACGCTGCAGAACACTCTGGGGAGCAATAGGGGTTGTATGAACTAGTCGACTTCACTATAGTGACTTTTTATGCCTGTCATCGACTAGTTGCTGTCACGTGATAATGACCGGCAAGATGCAGCCCTCGGAAAAGACAGCCGCCTGCTGTCAGCAGGTGACAAGCTCCTGTTCTCGGGGGGGGCAACGCGCTGTGCCAGAGCGTCGGTACTGACACGCGATCGTTCATGTCAGTTCATTTCCTTTAATGTTTTCTGTCTTTTGTTTGCGCCTGATGTGTTTCGCTGCTGTGGAGCGGGGCGCATCACCTTGTCCTCTGACGCACCGATCACTGATGCGGCCGACAAGCAGGAAGCGCTCCACTGTTTTTGCGGTCGGTAGATCTGCCTCCTGAGCACGGCCACAGTAACAATCAGGTGTTGCCACCTCAAAAACTAATTTAACACGCGATCGTTCATGTCGGTTCATTTCTTTTGATGTTTTCTGTCTTTTATTTGCGCCTGATGCGTTTCGCTGTGGAGCGGGGCGCATCAACTTGTCATCCGGTGACGCACTGATCACTGATGCGGCCGGCAAGCAGCGAGCACTCCGCTGTTTTTGCGGTCGGTTGATCTTTTAGAACTGCAGCTCAAAGGTAACTCATAAGGTGAATATATATGAACCCAGGTAGCAGTTTCTCTTTAGGATTGAGAGGAGATGCAGGAAGATAATAAACAGGCAGGACAGAAAAATTGTCAAATAAAAACAAGTTAGTTTTTGTACCTGGTAGTTGCAACAAACAGACACCATTAAAGGTAATCAGAAGTGAGGAACAGAAAATGAAATAATTATTTTAATGTTTAGAGCAGCAGGAACTCCGAGAGGCTGCAGGCGCATCAGTGACTTTGCGGCCGCTGCGCAGGGGGAGGGGGGAGAGGGCTGAAACAGAAACTACCGTGGTTAAAAGAAATGTTTAACTTTGAAAATGTGGGCGCAATTTTAATTGTCAAAAACTCCAGCGAACCATTAGTTCATTTTGCTCAAATAGAAATAGAGGCCTGCCTCTAATACTGGCCCTCCTTCCAATAACGGCCTGGAGCTTGATGAGCTTGAGTCAAATACAGGCCCGGGCCTGTATTAGAGGATTTACGGTACCTTTACTTATGACCAGTAAGCTGTGATACGCTATGTAAATATAGAATTTCAACCTGCTTGGTCTTTGGATGTTTAATCAGAAGATTCTAGGATTCTTTGTTTATTCAGGGATTGTAGAACACTTCGTCTTGATTCAGGATAGAGTCAGGTTTATAAAAGTAAGAATTTATTTTCCAAACAATTAAAACATGACAAGTTAACTAATATTTACTGTGAGTGGATGGATCTAGGTGGATGAGATGTGATGTATGGTGCCTATGTGTGAATATGATGTTATCAGAGTTTTTGTATCGAGAATAACTGAGTTCTAAGTGTAAAAAGGAAAGATTTGGTTTGCATTAAGCTATGAGGTTGATTCTTATCAAAAAGGCATCAGACGCTATCACCCTTTGGAAGACCCTCTTCGTGGATCCGAAGGTCAGAGAGGTTGGATGACCTCTGGCACCGAGGTTGTAGAATACCGTAGCACCGACCCCTCAGTCCAGAGATGTTTTCCGAGTCACAACAGATGGATGGAACCGTGGCGTCTAGACGGACTCTTAAAGAGTCTGAACAATATCAGCTTTGTTCTGCAGGAACCGTTTGCTGTGTCAGCGGTAGGCAGCTTTTAGCAGGGTTTTGGCAGATTGCCAAAAATGCTCAAGGTTAAAGAAGCTTCGCTCCAGATGGCCGTTCCGGAACTCTTTCTCTAGAACTGAAGGCTGAGTGATGGAAAGCTGGAATGCAACTCCAACTGCTGAATGACTGAGTCATTCTGTTTTAATATTATCATATTATGATTTACTTGGCCAATCAGAGCGTGCCACGTAAAGGGATATTACCAAGACAACCTCAGAAAACACGTCTTCTTGAGATACCGGATACTCTGATCTGGGGTAAAGAAATATCTATGCGTCTTGAGTTTAACATAACTTTAATTTGTCCTTGTGTCTGAGTACAGGTGGTGATTGCCTTGTCATATCAAAGATTACTGATTACCATATATATGACTCATTCAATGTAATAATTCATTTCATACTTTCAGTAACTCAAGCACAGATCAATCAACCTTATTGATTTAAGCACAGATTAATCAAAACAGTATTGTTGTTGTTATTATTATTATTATTATTATTATTATTATTATTATTATTATTATTATTATTATTATTATTATTATTATTATTATTATTATTATACGAGTGATTAACTCATATAAGCTGAAAACAGCCACCCTTATAACAGTCCAGTCCGGCCTAGATGACCAGGCAGACTTGGCACAGAAGGGCCTTGAGAAGGGAACAGTATTGTTGTCACTTTGTTATCATGTGTTCCGAGCTGTAGAGAGGCCCCAGCTTATGGAATAGCAGGACCCAGCAGATTAAAGGCAACACATGCAGACTCCTGTCTCCATGTCGACCAAATACTGAAGGGGTCAAATTTAACATGAAAACTGACCATTACTGGACATTACATTCTCAAACTTCCTTTTGAAACTCTCCAAGATTCCTGCAGCTTTCCATCTGAAGTAGGACATTTCAGGCACAGAGAATCGGCTACTGCCGAGTCCAGTAGATGGCTTATCATTAAGGAGCCACCATACAATGTACTGTTGGACAGCAGGTTTATGGGCTCAAAATTAAACTGAGACTATAGCAGCTTTTATTTATAGCCTGTCATATTCCTCAGCTGAAATAGTGACTGAAATGTTGCTGCTTTGTTTCACTGGTGATGATTAAAGGTTTCCACTGAATGGTCCTTCTAATTTCATTCTATTTGTGTGGATGTGACGGATCAAAAACACAAAAAGCTAGCTCCAGATGTGGGCACCTCTCTTCCTCTGCCTTGGACTCCTTGCAATTCCCAAATGGGAGACATGGAGGCGGGTGGAGGTGGAGGAGGGTTGTGAGCGAGTGGAGGAGTCATTTGGCACAAGCCCTCAAAAAGAAGCAGCAGCGTGGGAGCTGAAGACTCGGAGCTGAACACTCCACACTGAAGACTCGGAGCTCATTTCTATAGGAGGAACTTTAGGCGATGATGCAGAAGTTTCTGTCAGCTATGATGACTCTCTGGGCCACCATGATATTGATGAGTCTTCATGAGTTGGTAGGATGCTCTGCTCAGGTGAGTGCTAGTCTGATCCAGACTGACTGAATGTTTTATAAACTGCATTTGATCCTCTTAAGATTGCTTCTCCAGTTAATAATAAAATTCAAATAAACTGAAACGTGATTCTGCAAAGAGAGGGATCTCATTCTTCTGCAGAAAAGCTAAGAAACATCTCTACTAGGACCCTAGGGTTTAGACCACTTGGGAACCAATTGTTTATCATTTTATTATCACCCAAACTGTAGACAAAATATGACAACTTGAGACTTAAATTTGCCTTGAAAATATGAAATCTTGATTTTGACCTAAGAAAGTTTTGAAGCAGTTGTTTTCTTTTGAATTTACCTTGCATCAGCAACAAAAGACATTTTTTATATCAAAATCTGGCATCAAAGGTTTTACTTTAGATGAGCAGAAACATTTCAGACACCCTCACTACTGAAGTCAGAGCTTTTGATCCATCTTTCCTGACGCCTATCATCACTCAGGAACAAGACGCCAAGATACAGGAATTTTCCCACTTACGGCAGAGACTCACCTTCTAGTCAGGACATAGACTCCCACCCTTTTCCAGTCACGAACCATGACCTCAAACTTGGAGGAGCTTACTCTTATCCTGGCCACTTCACACCTAGCTACAACAAACCCCAGAGCACACCCAAGGCTTGTGACAGAACCACGTAATTTACTGAAGCATAGAAGACCAGAAACAGCATTAGACATGCAGATTCCTTTTCCTTAATCTCCCAAGTGACAGGAGTAACTATTTCCTTGAGGTGTGAGTGGAAGATCCTATGGGTCTGGCATTACTTCCAAACAGTCCCTGATAATGTGTTTTATTTGACCCGGTTTGTCAAGACCCAAGTTAAGTCATTGGCAAGATCATGAATATAGGTTGCTGCTATCACTTCTCATGCATACTTTGGACTTTTTTCCACCATTGAGGTGGGATTCCACATACCTAGAATCAGTTTGTGATGCTGAGGATCAACATGCCCCGTCCTGGACTACCACCCCATTGTCAGAGCACCTGACCTACAGGAAGTGGGCCAGCGAGGAGTTGACAGGAAAAGAGACAAACCATTTACCACGATTTGTCTTTGGAGTTTTTCTGAAGTGATTGAAAATTTCTATTGAATTTATGTTAGAATATGATCCAAAATTTAATCTGCACCTGCAAAGACACACCATCTGGTGAGTTTGGGTGTCTGCGTTTTGGGTTTGAATGGGCATGATTAATACGTTTCTGTGGTCTGTTAAACTGGGGTTATTAACATGAACATACAACACATTCAAAATTTAGATTTCCCTGTTTGTTAAGAAGTATACAGTAATGTGGTGATTTTACCATGCCTTTGTTCACCCAACAGGAGTGTTCGTCCACTCATGACCTGCTGAACTCACTGCGGCAGGTAGAGAAGATGTTGGCCATACAAGAGACCTCATACCAGCAGGGTCTGCGCTCGCTCAGGAAGAAGATAAGTGCCATGCACAACAGCACCATGGTAGCATTTAAAACCGGCAAAAATGGTGAGGGGTGGTGCTGCCTCCTCCATCAGGGAGTCTCTGTACCTCTGGTGGAATAGAAACTGACAGGTTTCCAGAAGTGGTAACAGGCATGTTCCCTAATGAAACAACCTCTCAGTGGGAGCAGCTCTAGAGTGGTAGAAAGTCCAACCCCTCTCAAGGAAATTTGTTCCAGGGCCAGAGCCTTGCGTTGAGGTGAGCGACTATATCTAGTCGGAACCTCTCAACCTCTTCCCCACCAGAGAGGTGACATTCCATGTGCCAAGAGCCAGCTTCTGTAGCCGAGGATCAGACCGTCAAGGTCCCCGCCCTTGACTACCCTCACTACCACCTGTGATCTGTATTGACTTTTACATACCATGCACATATCATTCCTCAAACTCTTTAGCCTCTCACCCAAAAATGTCAGGGACATCAATGAGTGGATTGGTGCTGCGTCTGCAGTAATCTGAGCATTTTAACTCTCCATTGCAGTGATGAGAGCACTGAGCAGAAAGGCAAAGCTCTAAATTTATCAGTGGATCTACGTTCTAGCCCTCATCTATGGTTACAGTCCAGTATGGCAGATGGCCGTCGAAACACAGAAATTATGCCAGGGCTGAAATTTATGAAAGAATGAGATACAAGTGGCCGAAAGGAGTTTCCTACACAGGTTGGCTGGGCCTTCCCTTAAAAGTAGCGTGAGAAGCTCAATCATCCAGGAGGGGCTCGGAGTAGATCCACTGCTAGTCCACATTGAGAGGAGCCTGTTGAGGTGGCTTGTGCATCTGGTTAGGATGCCTCCTGGATGCCTCCCTGGTGAGGTTTTCTGGAAACATCCAACCAGAGGACACCTTAAGGAAGACCCAGGACATGGCGGAGGGACTATGTTTCTTGGCTGGCATGGGAACACCTTGGAGAGGGGATTGGGGTTTGCCACTGGACCTGATCTGGTTCTGATGGGACAGATGCTGTTCATAACTGAGATGAAATGCTCATTAAAATGAGAAGTTAAAGAATCAGGGTCATTATCAGAGGATAAAGGTGGACTGAAAGCAGCAGAAAATTAGCTGGCTGTGCTCTCATTAAGTATATGAGAACTAACCAAGCGGTGGGCAGGAGGTGGGGATGCAGAAAATTGAAGAGAACGCAATGTTATCTGAAATATAAATGTTGTCAGAACAATTATGGTCGATACTGAAAGCATAGGTAAAAGCAAGGTCCAGAGTGTGTCCTCTGGTGTGTGTGGGACCAGAAACCTGGGTAAAAGTAAAAGAGTCCATGAGGTTGGAAAAGTTCATGGCAAAGTGGTCTGAGGCTGTCATGAACTCCTCCTCTTAACCTCCTCTGCGGGCCGGGCTGGCGCTGCACTCCAGTTACCAGCATGCCTGTCACCGACGCTTCCCGGTGACGTCATCCCGCTGAGCCTATTTAAGGACCTGTCACAGCGGAGCCGGCACTCAGTCATCATCTAACGATAGACGCCAAGCCATTCTAAGACCTAAGACACTAACTCTACGAACCATACGGGAAGAGAACTTCCCACGCTGCCACATATCAGTCTCCATCCACCATTCTCTCCGCGCCTGGGTCTCATAACCACTCCAGCTCAGCCCATCGAACCTGACAGGATGACTGAGTCCTGAGTAGACCCAGCGGAGATCGCACAGCTGCGAGCTGAGGTAGCGCAGCTGCTCAGCCGAGTAGAACGCCAGGAGGCGGACAACGCCCAACTCCGTGTGGAGAACAATCAGCTGCGTGCTGTTACTGATCGCCTCACATCCAAACTCGATTCCGTCACCGAACTGGTAGTCCAACTCTACTCAGCCCTCCAACGACAGTCATCTGCCACTCCTAACGTGGTGGAGCCGTATCTAAGTCTCCCAGAGAAATGGGATGGGATTAAAGGATCCCCGGAGAGCATGTTGGCCGTTCTGTCAATGACTTTTGAGTGTCAGCCGGCACGCTACCCGACTTCCTGCTCTCGCGTGGCTCTGTTAACCTCCCTGCTGACTGGGCGAGCCGGTGAATGGGCGGCTGCTCTGTACCATCAGAAGTCCCCAGTCTGCAACGACTATGAAGCCTTCGTGAAAGAACTGAAGAAGGCATTCGTTCATCCCAGCAGCGAGGTCGCAGATGAGACACGCCTGCTCCAGCTTCGACAAGGCTCTCAGACCGTGGCCGAATTCACCTCACGCTTCCGGACCACCGCTGCCCATCTAACCTGGGGTGATGCCGCGGTGAAGGCTGTGTACTTGGAGGGATTGTCACCCCGCATCCGTGAGGGCATGATTGGTCACGAGGCTCCAACCACCCTGGACCAGGCGGTGGACCTGGCTCTCCAGCTGGACCGCTGCCTCCTCACCAGACCAGGAGTGAGGACGGTTCCCGTACAATCCCGAACTTTCCCCCGCCGTCAGGAGAACCAACCCATGGAGGAACCCATGCAACTGGGTCATTTGCCCCCCGAGGAACGGGCGCGCCGTTTTCAGGAGGGACGATGCGCCTATTGTGGGGCTCTGGGTCATCCCCGTGCAACATGCCCCATACGCCCGGGAAACGGTCCCTCCGGGTCGGTGTAGGAGCTGCCTCACTCGGAGTTTCCACTCATGCAGCTCCTCATCACACCACCCTCTCGGTCTCCTTCCAGCTGAGCCAAGGACCGGTCCCCCTGGTGGCCCTCCTCGACACCAGAGCTGCAGAAAGCTTTATCGATCAGGGGTTGGTCAACCGGCTCAAGATTCCACTCACCCTCCTCGATCATCCCGTTCCCGTCACCTCAGTGGACGGGCGCCCTCTCATGCCATATCCGATCACGCACCGAACCCAGAACCTCCGGATGACCATCGGAGAACAGGTAGAGACCCTTCATTTCTTGGTCATTCACGCCCCTACGACTCCTCTCATTCTGGGTCATTCCTGGTTCCGCCTCCACGACCCTCACATCTCCTGGTCCACCAGTAAAGTCATGGCATGGGGTGTTAACTGTCGCCTTCATCATCCGTCTCCAGGATCACAGCCTAGGGAGACACCACCCAAGGATGTGGATTTAACACTCCTTCCAGGATCACAGCCTAGGGAGACACCACCCAAGGACGTGGATTTAACACTCTTTCCACCCCAATACCACGATCTGGCTCGGGTCTTTGCAAAGGAGCCTACCACCAAGCTGCCTCCTCATCGCCCCTACGATCTGGAGATCAGGCTTCAGCCCGGAACCACCCCGCCTCGGGGTCGGCTGTTCTCGCTCTCCCCGGCAGAGACCCAGGCGATGGACGCTTACATCAATGAGGCTCTCCAGAAGGGGTTTATCCGACATTCCACGTCTCCTGGGGCGGCAGGGTTCTTCTTTGTGAAGAAGAAGGAAGGTGACCTCCGGCCCTGTATAGACTATCGTGGATTGAATAAAATCACCATCAGGGACCGCCATCCTCTTCCCTTAATGAGCACGGCTCTGGACGCCACTGCCCAAGCCACACTGTTTACCAAGCTGGACCTCCGCAGTGCATACAACCTCATCCGCATAAAGGAAGGAGAGGAGTGGAAAACCGCTTTCATTACACCCACTGGACATTATGAGTACCTGGTCATGCCCTTCGGCCTCTGCAACAGCCCTGCCGTTTTCCAGCGTTTCATCACTGATGTCCTCCGTGACATGCTGGGTCGTTGGGTTTTTGTTTATTTGAACGACATCCTCATCTACTCCCGCACGGCCGAGGAACACACCCAGCATGTTCGAGCCGTTCTGTCACGCCTCCTGGAGCACGACTTATTCTGTAAACTGGAGAAGTGTGCTTTTCACCAGGAGTCCACCTCGTTTCTGGGATTCATCATCTCCTCCCAGGGCCTGCGCATGGACCCACAGAAGGTTCAGGCGGTCGCGCAGTGGCCACTACCCAAGACCCTGAAGCAGTTGCAGAGTTTCCTGGGGTTCTGCAACTTCTACCGCCGGTTTATCCGCAACTTCAGCGCCCTGGCGTCACCATTAACTTCCCTGACGAAAACAACCAATCAGCCTCGCCCTTTCCGCCTCTCCCCGGAGGCTGTTGCTGCCTTCCATGAGCTGGTCCGCCGCTTTGTAAGCGAGCCCATCCTCCTCCACCCGGACCTAACACGGCCTTTCGTTGTGGAGGTGGACGCCTCTGAGACGGGCGCGGGAGCCGTACTGTCACAACGTGGCCAGGACTCCAAACTCCATCCCTGCGCATTCTTTTCCCGGAAGTTCTCTCCTACCCAGCAGAACTATGGGGTCGGGGACCGGGAATTGTTGGCGATAAAGTGGGCCCTGGAGGAGTGGCGACAGTGGCTCCTGGGTACCCCCACTCCTTTTCTAATCTGGACTGATCATCAGAACCTCATCCATATTCAGACCGCTCGTCAACTCAACCCTCGTCAGGCCCGATGGGCCCTCTTTTTCGAACCTTATAACTTTCACATCGCCTACCGCCCCGGCTCAAAGAACCTCAAGGCGGACGCCCTGTCCCGTCAACACACCCAGGATCCAAGGCCTCCTGAACCGAGGTCCATCCTCCCGACCGAACGGTTCTTGGCCGCCCTGCAATGGCCCCTGGAAGCCTCCATCCGGGCGGCTCTCCCGGCGGACCCGGCGCCCCCAGAGACGCCTCCTAACCGCCTTTACGTTGCGGCCGTGTGTCGACAGGAGGCCTTGAGGTGGGGGCATAGTTCACGGCTCGCGGGACACCAAGGCCAGGCTCGTACCTTCCAGTTCCTCCGCCGGGCCCTGTGGTGGCCCTCTATGAGAAAGGACGTGCGTGAATACACCGCTGCATGTGACACTTGCGCCCGGTCTAAGTCCACCACCCAACCTGGAGCCGGGGAATTGCAACCGCTCCCTGTGCCTAAAAGGCCGTGGTCGCACATAGGTGTGGACTTTGTCACGGGGCTTCCCGTTGCCGACCACCTGGACACCATCCTCACCATCACCGACCGCTTTTCGAAGGCTGTGCATTTAGTGGCTATGGCAGGGCTCCCCACGGCTAAGAAGACGGCGGTGCTCCTCCTCGATCATGTGGTGAGGCTCCACGGATTCCCCCAGGACGTGGTGTCTGACAGAGGGCCTCAGTTCATCTCACGTTTCTGGAAGGCTTTCTGTCGGTTGGTGGGCGCTTCCGCCAGTCTGTCGTCAGGCTATCATCCCCAGACTAATGGTCAGACGGAGAGAGCCAACCAGCAGCTTGGGCGTTACTTACGCTGCTTCGCCTCGTCTCAACCGTCCACCTGGCCTCGTTACCTCCTATGGGCGGAGCTCTCTCACAACCTCCAGACGTCCTCCGCCACGGGTCTATCGCCCTTCGAGACCTGCTACGGATACCAGCCCCCTCTTTTTGACCATCAGGTGCCGGAGGTGGAGGTTCCGGCGGCTCAGGATATGGTCCGCCGCTGCCGTCTCGCTTGGATCAGGGCTCGCGCCGCCATCACCCGGGCTAATACAGAGTACTCCCGACAACACCGCCGCCGCCACCGGCCCGGCCCTGTGTTACAGCCTGGTGACCGGGTTTGGCTCTCTACCGCAAACCTCCAGTTTCCGGCTGGTTCCAGGAAGCTGTCGCCTCGCTTTTTGGGGCCCTTCCCAGTCCGAGATGTCCTCGGTCCGGTCGCTTACCGGCTGCGCCTCCCTTCCACTTTTAAGGTGCACCCGGTATTCCACGTCTCACAGCTCAAGCCGGTGGTGTCTTCTCCTCTCCATCCGCCTCCGGCCCGGGTGCCGACGCCCCGAGATGTCGATGGGGACCCCGTCTACACCGTCCGCAAGATTCTGGACGCCCGCCGCCGGGGCCGTGGATGGCAGTATTTGGTGGACTGGCAGGGTTACGGTCCGGAGGAGCGTAGCTGGGAGCCTGCCCGCTCGTTTCTGGATCCTTCCCTGTTGGCTGATTTCTGGTCTCGTCGCCCTGGGCCTTCTGGAGCACGTCCCTCGCGGGGGGGGGGTCCTGTCATGAACTCCTCCTCTTAACCTCCTCTGCGGGCCGGGCTGGCGCTGCACTCCAGTTCCCAGCATGCCTGTCACCGACGCTTCCCGGTGACGTCATCCCGCTGAGCCTATTTAAGGACCTGTCACAGCGGAGCCGGCACTCAGTCATCATCTAACGATAGACGCCAAGCCATTCTAAGACCTAAGACACTAACTCTACGAACCATACGGGAAGAGAACTTCCCACGCTGCCACATATCAGTCTCCATCCACCATTCTCTCCGCGCCTGGGTCTCATAACCACTCCAGCTCAGCCCATCGAACCTGACAGAGGCATCATCAATGTGAATAATAATAAACTTTATCTATACAGCGGCTTCAAAAAAAAGCACTGCACAGAGAAATGCTAAAAACATAAATAAATACCTAAAATGATGTTGCAGGACTGAGGATAAGAATAAGCATGAGTGTGTTAAGAACAAATTAAAATCACCACCAGATATAATGAATAAAAATACTAAGAGGCAGTAAAACATAAAAAGCAAATAGTTAATCAGGATGAAGCCTAATTTATTCCTCTCCGTCAGCTCGGCGAAGGAGAGACACGCACTCATGGGAGGGACGCGGACAGAGTCGTTTTGCTCTGACTTTTCCATCTCCAGGGGAGTGTTGCAAAGCAATTCCCCGCCCAGACAACAGAGGGCGTGGCGCTGTTCTGTGGTACCCTGTCATGTATCCAGTCCAAGATAGTGCATTTACTAGTGTGTTTATATTTGTTTTAACATGAACAGTTTTGTCCCTCATTCTCCACCTCTTCATGCTCTCGCCACCTCTAAACCGTCATTTCCGTCCACGAATAAAATGCTTGCTTCGTATCTTTTCACTCCTCAAGTCACGAGTAAATAATTTTTCATATTTTTAGAGTCATTCCGCAATGTATTTTTCAAGCAGTTCCATATCTGCCGCTAGATATGGGGGGCAGCAGTAGCTCAACAGGTTGAGCTGGTTGTCCAGTAATCGGAAGGTTGCAGGTTCGATCCCGGCTCCGGACAGAGAATTCTGCTGTTGTGTCCTTGGGCAAGACACTTAACCCCACTTGCCTGCTGGTGGTGGTCGGAGGGACCGGTGGCGCCTGTGCTCGCCCGCGCTCGCCTCTGTCAGTGTGCCCCAGAGCAGCTGTGGCTACATCGTAGCTCATCACCATCAGTGTGTGAATGAGTGTGTGAATGGATGAATGATACACTGTAGTGTAAAGTGCTTTGGAGTCCTTACTCTGAGAGGCGCTATACAAGTGCGGATCATTTATTATTTATCATTTAGATATCTTCGGCTCTCTTTATGTGTTTGAGGTCACAATAGCGACGCTGTTGACAACAGCGGCGTCCTGACCAATCACAAGCTTGCATTCTCCATCTTGTTGGACGAATGTTTAGAAAAGAGAGCTTGACTCCGTCTGTACTTGCGAGCCTGTCGGAGAGCCCTCGAATGGACAGACAAAGGCGTTGCATGCGTCCGTCCCAACGCAGACGGAGAAGTTTAAATTAGGCTTAAGTAGCTGTGAATAATCTGGCCTTGAAGACCTCAGCAGAAGTAGCATGCCTAATGTCCAAAGGGCCATTCCAGGTTCCACAGCAGTGGAGCATCATATGCAAATGCACAACCACCAGGCGTTGTGTGCTTTGTTTTAGGAATGCATAGGAGCCCCGCAGCATTTGAGCATAGCGGTCTGTTCGGGACATACGGCAAGGTTGTTCAGCACTTTATATGTCAGCAAGAAGACCTTGAAAACTGCCCCGACAGAACATGGAAGCCAATGAAGTGATTTAAGATGTGATCTAACTTTTTCTCCTTGATAAAATCACCAACAATCACCAGTCTGCACAGCTTCATGGTGGAGGATACAAAGTCACGACACAAACTCCTGAAGGAAAGAACTGTTTGGACCATGTGGACGATAGACCACAACACAGTGAAATGGGTCCTTACGCCTGACTTTAATCAGCTGCAGTTCAAAGGAAGAAAAGTGACCAGAAGTTGTAGAGCAATGATACTCACTCCTGGTGCTGGAGAGTCGGTATCCAGCATGTTTTCCTTGTTTCTCTACTCCCACACATATAATTCAGTTGTTGAATCACTTGTGCAGCAGCTCATCAAGCTCTTCAGCTGCTGATTGAAATCAGGTGTGTTGAAGCGAGTTAAAGCTAAAAACATGTTGCATAGCGATTCTCCTGGACCAGGGGGGAATACCACTGTTGTAGAGCTAAATGGAAAATGCTTTCTAAACAGCTAGCCCTCCACCTCGACCAGAAGCGGGGCTGACTAATTTGGCAAGTGGTAGTCATAGCGTAAATAAATTAAAGGGTAAAAAGTTGCAACAACGCCACCCTGGGTTAACCCCCCATAGAAGGGTAGAATGAGGTTCGTAAGTTCAATACTCACTAACAGATGGTTTCTTTATTTACATATTCAAGTTAAAAACATACATAAGTGAAATTAAGTTAAGTTAAGTTAAGTTAAGTTAAGTTAAGTTAAGTTAAGTTAAGTTAAGTTACGTTACGTTACGTTACGTTACGTTACGTTACGTTACGTTACGTTACGTTAAGTTACGTTAAGTTAAGTTAAGTTACGTTACGTTACGTTACGTTACGTTACGTTACGTTACGTTACGTTACGTTAAGTTACGTTAAGTTACGTTAAGTTAAGTTAAGTTAAGTTAAGTTAAGTTAAGTTAAGTTAAATTAAGTTAAGTTAAGTTAAGTTCTCGGAGTCCAGTTATTAGTCAATCCACAATATTTACCCATAAAAGCCTAGGGCGAACAAATACAAAAATAACATTAAACCTGCAAAAAGTAAATAAGCAAAACACACCAAAGAATAATGATGAAATCAACGTAAAATAAACACAGCCAACTAAAAAATAGAAAAAAATCCCCCTTAACCTTTGTGGGCATTCTGGTGGTTGCCCTGGCAACCAGACGTCCGACGCCCAACATCTAATTAAAACAAACCAATGAAGATGAAACAGCAGCGATGCAGCACCCCGGGCACACCACCAGCTCTGGAGATGGGATTAGTCGTGGCGGGTCGGCGAGATGGAGCAGCAGAGGGGCCGGTGCACCGCCGACGACATCAGACGCTCAGCTGATCTAGGTGGGGCACTGTAGGCAAAGCCAGATGACAAAGCCGCTCTCAGGCCAACCAGTGCGGGCAGCCACATTGCGAACAAACAAAACTGGCATGGTCCCCCTGGATCAACACAACCCTACCCAAGCAGAGGCGAGGACTTACGGTCATTGTGCCGCTGGATCAGATCAGCCTTCATATGGCTGACACACCCACACGGGCAGAGAGCCAACAAGGAGTACTTGGATGCAGTGTTAACCCTATAACAGCATGTGCAGCTCCATTCTGCAATCACACGCTACAAACAAATTAAGATGGAAAAATGAGCATGAACTAAAGCTGCACAGGCAACAAACGAGGGAGAGTACTTACGATCGCAGCTTGCAGTTGGAGTCTCACAGTACCCCCAGCACCTGAAGTGCCATACAAGAACTGTTGTTCTGGAAGAGCAGGCAACTGCCTTTTAATGGGGGGCTCACCCCACCCTGCAATCAGTCCAATGTGAGCCACCTGGCTCTGTACTGGCCATCACACTAAGGAAGGAATAACCACTCGGACAGAGTTCAGTCAGACCAGAATAACATTATTTTCTTCCATTATCAGTTAAAGCCATTAATGAACAAAAACAGCAGATGAACATGTCCAGTAGAACATGATTTATCCGTTTCAGCAGAATGAAATCTACCAAACACACCTGACACTGGTCTTTGTTTTGGAGGTAAATGATGACTAAACTTGACCCTCTGCTTCCAGCATCCTGTCCCAAACCTGAACCCCCTGCTCACGGTCGGAGGCTGGGTCGAGTGTTCAGCATGGGCCATGAAGTCCACTTCCTCTGCAAACCTGGTTATGAGCTGATTGGTCCACAAACCCGAGTGTGTCTGGAGTCTCTAAAGTGGAGTGGCCAGCAGCCCATGTGCAGACGTGAGTCTTAAGTTATACTGACCCTGCAGGTCTTAGTGGTTGGTTCAGATTTTTCTGCGTGGTGTTTCACATTTTAATTTAACTACGAACTCCATCAGACTCCAGTGTAAACGATCAATGGTTCTAATGTGACCTTAATGACATCACAGTCGCTTTTAGTGAAGTAAATTTAGATGCTACATGTGTGTGTCTCATTTCTGAGGTTCTAATAAAGCTTGTTTACTTTTGATACTGATGCTTTCAACCTCTTCCAGAGCCGAATTATCCCATCTGTCACTTTAGTGATGTAAAAGTAAGATATTAAACTGAACCATTTTGTTTGAGGGCACTTTGAAAAACATGAGAGCTGCATGTGATTTAGGAACACTTATAGGACTTTTGAGAAAAGTGACAGGGATCTCATGGTGAGGTTTTCCGGGCACATCCAACCGGGAGGAGACCTAAAGGTAGACCCAGGACACGGTGGAGGGACTATGTCTCTCACCTGGCCAGGGAACGCCTTGGGATTCCCCCAGAGGAGCTGGCCCAAGTGGCTGGGGAGAGGGAAGCCTGGGCCTCTCGCCTTAGGCTACTGCCCCCGCGACCCGAATCCGGATGAGCAGATGAAAATGGATGGATGGATGGATGGACGGACGGACGGACGGACGGACAGACGGACGGACGGACGGACGGACGGATGGATGGATGGATGGATGGAGGGGATCTTATTTGTGCCATTATTTAAAACATCAGATCAGGAAAAATTTAAGATCAAAAAGTCAAATTTAGAACACTTTGGCCTGCAGTGTGAATGCAGAAATACATTCATGTAGTATCAGAAAAGTATTGACGGTGGTTCTTTTTTTTTTTCAGGCCTGAACAACACCTCCAACTCAATGGCTTCCTTTTCTGCAGCTGCTTCCTCCTTCCCTGCCTCTGCTGCCTTATCATCCTCCTCAGAATCTTCACCATCTTCTGTTTCACCTCCAACCTCTTCATCCCTGTTGTCCTCCATTCGACCCTCGAACTGCACACACTTCTTGGGTTCAACCCGCTGTACCTGTGATGTTGGCTTCACCATATCTGGTCGCGACAACAACATCTGCACAGGTAGAGGAAGATGTACTCTAGGGAACGTAATCATGATTATTATTGCACGGCCTTAATGTTCAAAGCTGTTTAACACACCCGTCAATCAGACTAAAGATGTTTTAAAGATCTTAGTGTTGCACTTATGTGTTTCAGATATCGACGAATGCCATCTTTTCCCTCTGGCCCAGCCAGGCCAGCTATGTGTCCATGAGTGCATAAACACACCAGGCAGCTTTCACTGTGTCTGTCCACCCGGCTACAACCTGGCTACAGATGGCCGCAGCTGCACAGGTTGATCCCAGAGACAATGTCGTGTGATGAGGATAATAGTAAGGGCTTCTTTTCTATCTCACCTTTAACCTTTGTATCTCAGACATTGATGAGTGTGAGAACCACACCTGTGCAGAGGAGCAGCTGTGTGTGAACACCTTCGGGGGATTCCAGTGTGTGACGGTGGTGTGCCCAGATGTCAAAAACGCAACATACATCAAGACGTCTCCCATGTAAGCGTAGAAGCATTCAAATTATTTTTCCTATAAAACAATTTAATACTTTAACCATCTGCAGAAGATTAGTGAAGATGTGGTCAATAGGTGTGGAGAGTGGAGAGCACACCGATAAAACAACCTAACCTATGAAGTGGGATGAATGTTTGGTTGAATAGTTCCTTGTTGCAACACGGCTTGGAAACAAGCATATTAATGTTAGAAAATCTAAACCTGCACTACAAGGTTAAAACTTATAATTAGCATGAGCAGCACAGCTAAACGTGTGTGTAGCGTACCCTACAAGAATGCACTCCTGTAACATTCTCCTGTTGGTTGTTCTGAGCAGCTTTGGAGGATTGAACGATTGCACTTTTACGCATTAATTAGAAAATAAAGGTCCTGTCTGAGCACCCTCAAGGATAGCATCCATGGGCAACAGTGGCTCTGGGGTTAGAAACCCTGACCATTTCAATTGGTGGGTTGCCAGTTTGAACACAATCTCCAGCCATGTCCTTGTTGTGTCCTTGGGCAAAGCGCTACACCCTCTTTGCTTGCTCTTGGTGGTCGGTGGTGCCAGTTGTATAGCAGCCTCTCTTCTGTCAATGTGCTCCAGGGCCACTGTGGCTATGATGAAGCTCATCACCATCAGTGTGAATGACTCTACTGTAAAACGCTCTGGAGTCCCTGACTTAGAAAAGCACCATTCAAACCGGGAATATTATTTCCAATACTGTCTGTTTCGCTTCCTAAACAGCAAGCAATGGGTCACAAAGAATCTTTTAGGATATCTTGGATGAGAAGAGGTCCTTTGGGTCAGGTGACTGAAAAGTAGTGAGAAAAAAGGAACAGAGCTTGAGCGCAGGCTGCAGCAAAACAACATCAAGGAGCACAAAAACAATCCTTACAGCTCGGTTTGGCTTCCAACTTGGCCAGATGGCTGAGAGCGAGAGAGAGAGCCAGCAAGTCCTCAGTTGCTCTCACTCTGCTGCCCGGGTGAGAGTCATGCACGCTAACCAGTCAGCCAAAGTGACATCCCATTGGCCAAGTAGCCAGGGCGCATGATCAATCGGGATACAGTGACACTCATCTTGTCACGTTTGTTTCCTGTGGCTAGAAATGTAACCCTGAATATTAATGTCCCTTCTTTTGTGTCATCATGAGGACATGATCAGCCTAGGGGTGCTGAAGAGCTATGCAGTCTGTGTGCATGCTGAAAATTGATTAGATCACAAGGTACTGAAGATGTCTGATTTTAGAATCAAATATCATTGTCTTCAGCTGACTTGGGCCAGATGGACAGTGAGATGTTATACTGGAGCTCCACAAGGGACAGTCTTGTTCCCTTGTGGGGCTCCAAGTCTCACAACTCTGTCTGCAAAAATGATCAAAGACAGCTTTTGATAAAGCTGAAAATACGTACTGAAAAGGAATTTTAATATGTAATACTTGCAAATGTTCATTGTTAGCTGTCAAAATAGGAAATTAGGCTTAGTTTAGCTGTAAAAGTAGATTTTTCAAGATCTAAATCTCTATTTCATTAAGATTATTTGATGTTATAAATCTCAACCTATTGTGATTTCATGATAGGTGGATAGAAGTATACCAAACCAGATGACTAGAAGCACTAATTATGAGGAAATATTTATTTGGTTGCTTATTTCTTCGTTGCAGCAACAGGTCCTGATAATAAATCTCAAATAGTAGATAAGCCTAAGTAAAGGCTAACCTTTACCCTGTTAATCCCGTTAACCCTTCACAATGGCTGCTGTTTCTCACAAGGAGCTCCCGACAACCCATCAGTCACACATGTCAAAATGCAGCATCGTAGGTATTTATAAAACGTGTGGTTTGGTATTTTTATCAGAGCATTCTCTGTAATTGTGACTGTCAAAGAGATTTAGATTTTCTTCATGGACTTGAGTGCTTTTGTTTGAACTTTTCTCTGGTTGCGTTGTATGTTTATACTTGTTATGATTGCAGTTCTATTTGTTTAGCTGAATAACTGTGGTAATCTGCTACCCATTTCATTTAAACATATGTATGATTGTTTTTGTTTTTTTACATAATATGTGATTGGTAGTGAGATTAACTGGATTTGCAGTGTTTCAGCCAAATGTTTTTTTTCTGTCTTATTGTTTTATTTATTGTCAGAATATTTTGTCCTGATGAAATAACCCTTTGGTTTGAAACACTGCAGATATGCAGGTCCTGTGGTGAAGAGTTAAGTGTCCATGCTTTTCTTTATTTGTCTCTAAATATTTCAGGATGCACCAGGATCAGCATTTGTTCTCGTTTCTTACAGCATTACTAACATTTGTACCACAGCTAGTGAATTGGTCAAAACAATTTGTATGAACAACAAAGCTTAAAGTGATATTTCACTAATATTTTTAATACATGTGCAGTGATCTCTAGTAGGAATGAATGCCATGTAAGTTGTAAGCTCCAGTGCACCAGCTACAGGAACTAGAAGTGAACCAGATCAGAGCTGAGCTTCAGACGGCAGGATCTGGAATCTTATTTCCTGATATTTGGACATCTCTGCACTGATTGGCTAACAGCAACACAACTCCACCACGTTTGCTCTGCAACATTTATCTCCACAAATATCACAAGCCTGAAGGAGTCTAATGCTAACGCTAACGTTTAGCTTCTACTACTCAAGACATTCTCTGCTGTTTCCCGGACGCTAAACCAACAACCCCCCCCCCCCCCCCCCCCCACCACCACCACCACCACCCCCCCACCCACCCACCCATTGTGAGTCAAGATGGGTGACGACTCCATTAATGAAGTGAGACTATTTTCATGTTAAACCTGAATGAAAAACTCAGAGTGACTGATTATAATCAGAAATAATTATTAAAATATTTTTTTTTTCAGTGAAGTACCACAGCACACCAGGTCGGGGGGGTGTCTTGAGACAAACAGTTAAAGTTGTCTTGCTTCAGTTTGCCACTCACCTGTTCGGGTAAATGAAACTATAGGAAAAAACGTTCATGTTTACATCTTCAAGTAAAACACTGTTGGGATTCAAATGATCACATGATTTAACTTCCTGTTCGCCTGTTCAGGTGTGTTGGTTACATTTTACAGGCCTCTTTATAACTCAAAGATAGTTTTAGTTTAAATTCTCCTTAAATGTTTTGAGAACCAGCTGCACGTAACTGCGTCTGAATGTCATAAAGATGGAGCCGATGGCTGCCCTTAAATAAGAAGCCAACACATTGTGTGCTTTAAATAAGCAGAATGGAGTCAGAAAACTGAGGAGACAATGGAACAACAATCACACCAAGCAAGGATGGCAACCAGAAACCTCATCCCTCAGAGAGCAGTAATTACAAAACAATGAGATGAACCTGTAAGTGAGCCACTTCCCTGGTAACGCCCATCATTTAGCTGCTATGGTTTGGTGCAATTCCCAGGCTTCAGTCGTCTTTATCGCCCAAGAAGTGATGAGCTATTGGTTTAGAATGTCGGTCACCCAGGAAATGATAGAACAACAAACGAGATCCACACAGAGTCCATCTGAGAGAATGTTTATTCCCTTGTTTGTTCTACAGGTGGCTCGCGGTGGAGGGAAAGGCAGCCATGATGCTTAGCATTCCTAAAAGGCTCTTTCATGTTTCAGATGAGAGACCAAAATAAATGTAGGCAATTATAAAAAAGATCTTAACAAAAATAATCTTTAGTGTGTAGAAAGTTTGTAAAGGCTAATTAACATTTTTCTACCTGTAGATTTCAAAAACGTGGCTGCTGCTCAGGAAACAGTGGAACTGACCCCCCCACCCCACCCCACCCCAAACACACACACACACACACACACACACACACACACACACACACACACGCACACATCTAGGATAAACATAATTGTACTCATTTTAAATCATTTAAAGACAATAGCAGGTGACAATTTCAGGAGTTTGAGCCAGCCCATCTGGCCTAAACTGAACAACAACGCGGTCTCAGGAAGAACAGCCACTGAGATTCTTCGGCCTGTTTTTGACCTCAGCCTCATTTTATATCACACAAAATTTTACGATGTTAGCTTCAGTTTAACCCGCTGGATTAGATTTACTAAAACTCTGTAGTTTAACCCTCTGGAGGCAGGCGTTGCAGATTTGCAACACTAAAACCTACCTACCTGGCTACTCCACATACATGAGCATTTTTTAACTCAGAGGTATGCCTGAAGGACTTAGTTTGTCCTTGTTCGTCCTTTTATCAAAACTTATTTAGAGCCTGAGAGGGTTAATAATTTACAATAAAAAAAATCTCCCTATTGGCCATTTTAAGGACATGCCAAAGTATAGATATGTCTGTAGAAATAATTATATCAGATATTTTTACTGTCAGTGATGTGTTCATTCAAACTGAATTATGTTTAGAAAGCATCACTTCTCAACACAAGTCATCATGTCTTGGTCAGACATCGAGAACAAACAAAGCCTGTTGAATGGGATCAGTCAGAAAGTGATGTGGCGAAAGCTTGCTACACACTCCAATTTCATGTTTGTTTACTCCAAAGTCACATTTGATCATGAGAGGTTTAAAGATTTCCTGTCTGAACATGTGGTTTGTGTGTAGTCTTGTTTTTGCCGTGTGGCCGGACACCACACGCTGTCTGACCTAAACTGGTGCTGTTTTTTATCGCCGCATTTGTGGTCTCGTGCTATGAAAACTGACGTTTTTACAAATGGCCCGATACTGAAGCGGTCAAACTGTGGATGAAAACTGACAATTCCTGGAGGCTACACTCCCATGGGAACCAGGCCAAAGCAGTCACAGGAGACATGGTAACACTTTATTTTATTAACATTACTAAGTGCATTATTGTGCCTTAATGAACAAAAATCCCTATATTAATGTTTCTAATATTGTTAACTATTAAGTGATACATCACATAATATTGAGCAGGTATTCCTGCTTCATTTAACAGTTTATTATTGCCTAATAGTGCACTAAGTAACGTTAATAAATGGACCCTGATTGTAAAGTGTTACTGAGGACAGAATCAAACCAGCCAATTGAAAGAGACAAACCACCTAAATCGCATCTGCATGCGTTGTGGATCTGGATGCAGAGCTCCGGAAAGGTATTTTTTTCACATGCCGCGGATCATGAAGTTAAAGAAATTACATGGGTGTTTTACGTGTGTTAGCAAGGTGCATCCAGTTTATTTCTAAATGACAGCCATGTCAGAAGCAATACAGAGGTGGTGCGGGGTTCTGCTCTACATCGGGCGGAGGTACCTGTTCATCATTACCCCAGCAGATCGGGGCTAGCTCTGGTGTCTGGGAATGGTTGTGCCCTCTGTGCAGCGGTACTGGGACTGAGTGAGTAAGGTGTGTGAACTCGGGGGTGGGCGGCTGCGGGCGGGCGGGCCTGGGGGCTTGCCATTGTTATCTCCCAGGGCTCTGACGGCTGCTGATTGCAGCCCCCAGGGTAATCCTCTGTGGGAGTCGGGTTGGGGCTTCTCCGGCGACTGTCTCCCTGGGGTTTCTGCGCTCCGGGGAGACCCTTGGATTTCTCGGGTTTGGAACTTCTCCATCTTCCACACGTCTGTGGCCCCTCACACTCACTGTTGGACACTCCTATAGAGAAACCTTACATATACAAGTGTGTGTACACACACAGGTGCTCACATGGCACTCTCATGAGGATGGACTTGGGCATTTTCAGGACACCCCCTGTGTGGTGGCTGTAGTCGGCACCAAATGCACTTTGAATTATTACCATGTGTTTCTCAGCAAAACAGTTACTTTTATATATCCTCATGTTGTTAGCTCAGTGATAGTTTGGTCTTGTTGTATTTCTGTGTGTCCATCTTCTCTCTCTCTCTCTCTCTCTCTCTCTCTCTCTCTCTCTCTCTCTCTCTCTCTCTCTCTCTCTCTCTCTCTCTCTCTCTCTCTCTCTCTCTCTCTCTCTCTCTCTCTCTCTCTCTCTCTCTCTCTCTCTCTCTCTCTCTCTCTCTCTCTCTCTCTCTCTCTCTCTCTCTCTCTCTCTCTGCAGGTCTAGAAGATTCTTGTTCATCATTTATTGTTTTTGTCAACCCCCCTTCCCCACCTCTTCTTTCTCTCGCTACCCCATTCTCTCACACTTCTGCAATTGTGTCCGTTGGGATTTTAAACAACCGAAAATATTTCTAATAAAGTTTTGGTATCAGGGGTGGCATTATAGCAGAAACTATAACGCTCCACCAGTGAGAATAAAACTGGACACGGTAAAAAAAATAAAAATAAAGAAGTAGAACAGAAACTGAACTGTATCCGTACTGCGTTCTGCGTGAAACAAGCTTGAGTGTCAGCTCCTCCAAGTCTGAGGCTGTGGTTATTTACAGAGAAATGGTGGAATGTTACCTTCAAGTTAGGAGTGAGTTTCTGTTTAAGTACCTTGTCGTCTTGTTGCTGAGTGATGGAAGGGTGAAGGAAAGATGGGCCAGTGGGGAGGAGTTTTGTCTTCAGTAATGAGGGTGTTGTTTTGGGTCTGACATGGTGAAGGAGCTGAGCTGAAGGGCATAATTCTGGATTTACTAGTGTGTCTACACTTCAGCTTTTACTTAAAGCTATACAATTTGGACCATGAAGGAAGGAATGAGCTCTGAATGCATGTCATACATGCAAAAACTCCAAAAGCACTGCAGTTAATTTGCTCTTCAGAATTCTGTACTCATGACGCTGTGGTAATCATGATCGTTCACAGTGTGGTTCACTGACAGGCCTGATTTTATCATTTTTTTCTGATTATATAGGGTGTTTGTAGAGAATTACCACAGTAGACTCAGCACACCATCCTGTGAAGTTTCACTTCAGGGATTTAAAACAGTTTTGCAGATTTATGTCCTTTGTTAGTGTTCACAGCACTGCTTGGAAGTCTGTGTTGCTAAAATCTGAAAAGTATGTTTGTCCTGTTTGTGTCTCCTAGGCGCTGTGAGAGGAACCCTTGCATGTCGGGAGACAAAGTTTGCAACCAAGCTCCAAACTCCATCTCCTTTCACTTTCTCGCTGTGGTTTCCAACATGTCTGCCCCTCGCATCCTTTTCCGGGTGTCTGCAGCTCGAGTGCTAGGCGATACGCTGCGATTTGGCCTGGGTGGTGGCAGTGGCCGGGGTCACTTCAGTGTGCAGCGCTCAGGTCGACAGACGGGCACCCTGCTCCTAGTGATGCCCATCCAGGGTCCGGCCACACTGGAGGCTGAGGTGGAGATGAGCGAGCTGGAGCACAACATCTTGCTGGGTCGCTATCTCACCAAGGTGACCTTGTTTGTGTCTCCATTCATGTTCTAGAAGGAACACTGAAGAGAAGTTCAGTAAAATAATGGATTTGACATCATTTAACTTTAGAAAGTGTTTGTCTTGCATTACTTTGGTAGTCTTAAGAATTTTAGCCCATTTTTTATCAATGCTGAACTCTGAAGGAGCCACAGAAAAAGATGGAACTTGTTTCTTTCTAAAACCAAACTGATACTCAGCATATGGTGGTTTTAATCCCTGTGGGTTGGGAGGGAGAGAGACTACAGCAGGGCTATTCAATCCCAGGCCTGGAGGGTCGGTATCCAGCATGTTTTAGTGTTTTATCTGCTTCAACGCACTTGATTCAGTGGTTAAATTACCTGTGCAGCAGCTCATCAGGCTCTGCAGAAGCCTGTTAATCACTAACTGATATCAGGTGTGTTTAAAATGGGTTAAAACCTAAATGTGCCCTCGAGGCCCAGAACTGAATAGCTTTTGTTTCCGCTTTCCTGTCACTCTGCCATGTAATACCTTCTATGCACCATTAAGTTTTACTTTGAAAGGTTGGGGACTCTGTATCGTGAGTTTTACTCTTAAAATGTTTTATTGTAAAAGAGAAGGTGGGAGTTAAGCTGGAACACCCAGAGAAACCCATGCAAGCACAGGGAGAACATGCAAACTCCATGCAGAAAGATCTCAGGCTGGGATTTGAACCTCGGACCTTCTTGCAGCAAGGCAACAGCATTGTTCCACTGTGCAGCCCTTGATGGAAATCAATACATTAAATGTTTGGTCAAAAAAGAGAATAATCTAAGCATCTTGAATTTACTGTTCATAATGATTGGATCATGATCCATCCATCAAGCTGTCCTCTGATCCAGTGGAGATCAGGACAGATGGAGATGATGGTGATCGGAATCCGTGACCGATACGGTCAGGACTCGTCTCACAAAATAAACCAAGGTCATATTTTACTGATGATTTGACTGTTGTAACCCTTTTTAGGGGGGTTCTGCATGTTTCATCTGTGCACTTTGAGTTTTATGTTGTTGAATTCGGTTAAAATCGTAATAAAAGTGGTCTCATGGTCTCCCCAACAAACTCCTTCATAAACTGCAACTGGTCCAGAATTCAGCAGCCCGTATTATCACCCCGGTTCTTTAACAGCTTCACTGGCTCCCAGTGAAATTCAGGTCCATCTTCAAAATTCTCCTCCATACCTTCAAAGCAATCCAAAACCTCTCTCCTCCATATATCTCAGACCTTATAAGTATTCACACCCCATCCAGTTCTCTCAGATTTTCTTCTTCCATCCATCTTGCGGTTCCTCCTGCCCATCTCGCTACCATGGGGAGCAGAGCTTTCAGCCGCTCTGCTCCTCGTCTCTGGAACTCACTTCCCTCAGACATCAGGAACGTCGACAGTTTTACCCTTTTCAAAACAAAACTCAAAACACATATGTTTAAATCTGCCTACAACCTCTGATTTTATTGAACTGTTTCTCTCTTTGTTTTTTCTTGTTTGGGTTTCATTATTGTTTTATTGTATTTTATTAAGTATTTTCTGTCAAGTGACCTTGGGTGTTCTGAAAGGCGCTTTCAAATAAAATGTATTATTATTATTATTAAAATTGTCACACTGTGTGTTTTCATGTTTTCTTGTCTTCATTGTTGCTGAAAAGCTAAAAACCCAAAAATGGTTCTCATCACTTTCTGTAAGCTCGGTTCTGGTTCAGGGTGGCAGGTAGGTCCATGTAGTTCTCATCAGTCCATGGGGGACAAGTTATCAGTCTATTGGGGACAGGTGATCAGTCCACGAGGGACAAAGACAGAGGCAGACATAAACCCACAGCTGGTCGAGAACATTAGTCCTCCAGGAAATGCATACAGAGAAGATAGTCCAGCTGAGATTGAACCTGATGCCTTCATACAGTGAGATTATGGTCCATTCAGCTATATTGCTACTATTATTATTATTATTATTATTATTATTATTATTATTATTATGGAACACCCTTGACTACTCTGACTGCTAAAACTCTTCACTCCAAGGAAACATAACATGTTTCTGTCTGCTGGACTGAAGAATGTACCACCGATGTGTGAGGCGGCCTGAAGCCTCCACCAGCCAGACAGAACACACATAAAGATGGACAGCAGACATGTAAATAAATACACACCATGTCTGCAGAGATGCTGATGCACAGAGGTACAACAGGAACATAGGTCAAGAGGTTGAACGGGTTGTCCAGTAATCGGAAGGTTGCAGGTACAATCCTGGTGTAGAGTACCAAAGGCCAACAGTTTGGTTATTTGTCCACTGTAAGGTCAGAGGTCATCACACGGAGGTGTCCTGGCTGTTTCGTTTGCCTGGAGTATTGTGTGCAACATCTTAACTGTCTGGCCTCCAAACCAGACAGCACACTGCTCCACAACCTTGTTACCAAGAAGGGAAGTCATGATAATCTTAGCTGGAAGCCCAAGGTCCCATGCAGAAGACAAGACTTTTGCTCTCTGAATAAAGCTCATCTTTCCTGGCTCATAAATGACTTATAATTATGAGCATCATATAATCATATTTTGTTGAATGAACAATGTGTGTAAATTCAAAGTGTTTTAATAATGTGTCCTATACTTTACATTAATGAATGATGGGTTGAAATGAATCATTTTCCTGTAATCATTCATTTCAGATCATAAATTACACCAGATCAGTAATTGTTGACTTTAGCGTTGATCTATCAGTATGAACACAGTAATGTCACCTTATTATCATCAATGGTTAAAACATTTGTGCTTCACATAATCTGTTTAATGGTTTTACTTCACACTAAGATTAACCTCTATCTGAGGGAAGGAGGGATTTCCTGAGGTATTTTGGCAACGCCTTTTAAAACTCGTCAGATTCTGATTTGTCTCAATTTGTTAACAGTTAATAAAGGTTAGGTCACTTCCTGATCCAACCAGTTCTTAGCCGCCTTCGGGTTCGGCCGACCGGGTGAGCAAAGCACTTGGGACCATCTTCTCTTTTGATTCAAACCAAAGCCTCTCTGCAACGCTTGTGAGTGCTATCAGATGCAAACGCCAGCTTCCCGCCGTCACCTGTGAGGTATTTCACTCATTATCTTGTACAACCATCATTTCATTCATACTTTGTCATGTATTACCATTAGTTTCAAATAATAGAATTAAATTAATTTTTACTACTATATCCTTGACTCTTGTCTGAATTAATATGAAGTGTGTGTTCCCTGAATAGTCCAAAGAACCTAAGGTAATATTATATCAAATATTCAAAGACCAATCAGATTGATAATTATGTTTATTTATGTTTATTTATTTGGCAGACGCTTTTATCCAAAGCAACATACAATTTATAACCTATAGGGCATGTTGTGATCTGTGGGGGAAACCAGAGTACCCGGAGGAAGCCCACGCATGCATGGGGAGAACACACAACTCCACGCAGAAAGGCCGCAGCCGAGTTTCGAACCTGCAACCTTCGTGCTGCGAGGCAACACTGCTAACCACTGCGCCACCATGCAGCCTTATTTATATGGAATATCATATCTTATTGATCATTTCACAATATGTAGCACAATTCCACTGTTGTGTCCTTGAGAATGACACTTAACCCAGCTCGCCTGTCAGTGCGCCCCAGGGCAGCTGTGGCTACATAGTAGCTCATCACTATCAGTGTGTGAATGTGTGTGTGAATGGATGAATGATGAACTGTAGTGTAAAGTTCTTTGGAGTCCTCTGACTCTGAAAGGTGTTGTACAAGTGCGGGTCGTTTACCATTTAATCCCAGTGTTAATCCCAACAAAAAATCAAGTCCATATAATTATTTGCTATATAAAATTAGACAATTTATGGATTTTGGAAAAAAATGTATTAAGGAGCTAAGTTTCCATTAAACTCTTGCCCAAAACCAGGTGTAAGCAATCCTGCTCGTCAACAGCCACTAAGCACCATGGTTTAGTTGTTTCCTTTGTAGCCTCCGGAAATGGTCTGTTTTCCCATATACAGGTCGACCTCTTCAGTATCGGGTCATATGGAGACATAAGTCTTAACTGGGGCTTTAATCTGCAAGAAAGATACTGTACTTGCCCAAGGTCCCTCGCAAGCTCCCTCTCATCTAAGACTGCTTTGCTTCACAGAACAAGATGGATGAACTTCCTCCATAATTAAATCATATAATGAACAAGATGAGTAAATAATCATATGGTTGAATGAACAATAATGGTTGAAGAATAATAACAATGTTTTGATTAATCTGTGCTTAAATTACTGTGGTTGAAATGAATATTATGTTATGATCAGTAAAGTTAGATTTAACGAGTGAATCACTATCTACTGACAGCTCACACACTCAGACACGTGACGATGACAAGGTTAAACTAATATCATGACACATTGCTTTCTGTTCCACGAATCAGAACTCCTGTATCTGACGCGAGGCGTGTTTTCTGAGGTTTGTTGGTAAAACCCTTTTTACATGTCAAATTGTGATTTGTTAGTAAATCAAAATATGACGATTATCAAAACAGAGCTCACTTCACTGTGAGTCAATTCTTGAGAAAGCTTCAGACCGACCATCCGGAGCAAAACCTCTTTAACCCAGAGCATCTTTTGACAAGCTGTCAAAAACCTGTTGCACACTACAGCTGACCACAAATGGTTCCTTCTGAATAAAGCTGAACCACCTTCGACTCCTTAAGAGTCCTTCCATAGACGCAAATACCTACCTGTTGTGACCTGGAGACATCCCGAGACCGGTTTAGTGGCACTGCAGTTGCTTCTACGGACTTCGGTACCTTTGGGGTCTACGGACTTCCTGACATCCCGGATCTACCGTGGGGGTCTTTGAGCTGGTACGTAGACTCGACAGATTGCGTCTGATGTGGTTTTATAAACCATCAGCTTATAGTTTATAGCAGACCAAATTCACTCCCACTCAGAACTCAGTTTCTTCAGATACGAGAGGTTCTGATAACATCACATTCACACATCATCACACCTCACATTCCATCCACTTAGATTCATTCATCACATAAAGTGTCCTAGTTGTCATGCTTTTAATTGTTTAGAAAATAAATGTCTTACTTTTTATAAACTTGACTCTCCTCTTGAATTAATGCGAAGTGTCTTACAATCCCTGAATAAACAAAGCATTCTAATCTTCTGGTTAAACGTTCAAAGACCAATCAGACTGAATTTCCATATTTATATAGAAATTCACAGCTTACTGGTCAAAGTGTAGGGTAGTATATTGAGCTTTAAAAGCACCCAAAATACATACGTATGCTACTCCTACACCCTGCTCCAACACACTTGATTTTAATCAGCAGGGGTCTCATTTATCAAACATTGCGCAGAATCCTTACTAAACCCGTGATTAAGCTCAGCAAAAAAAATGTACTTACGCCAGGTAGGTTTGTGATCTATCAAACATTGAGTACGCACAGCTGCACGCAATCTCCGCTTCATAAATCAGAGACTAACAAGAAAGGTTCTCAGCTGCTTTTTAGTCACATCCCACCCTCACCACGCCCACTTACTGCCATAAATAGTCAATGCAAAGTGCCTTGTGGATCTCATGCATATACATGAGCCGGCTCGTTGCAGCATTTCGATCGCCACCGCAGATCAAGGAAGCGGAATTTCACAAGCAGAAATTGAGGTACTTGTGGGTGAGGTGGAGAAATATAACAAATAAGAGAAAATCCACGGAGTGGCACAGCGTTGCTGAAGCTGTCAATGCTGTGAGTTCTTCAGAGAGATCTGTGGTGGATATAAGAACATTGTCCAATCAGGATTCGATTCCCAGACTCCCGGGCAAAAGTCAGACATGCTAACCAGTCAGCCAAAGGGACATCTCCCTTGACCAAGTAGCCATAGCACATGATCAATACGGTGACAGTGACAGGACGCTTACACGGTCACAGATGCATGATATTCTGTCTCAATTGCCCCTCGTTGATATTCAGCATTCCTTATTCCGGCTTCAGGGTGTGTGTGTGTGTGTGTGTGTTTGTGTGTGTTCGGGGGGTCGGGTGAGGGTGGGGTGGGGGAATGTGGGGGTGGGGTGGGGGGCTTGTTCCACGTGACAACGAAGCAGTACAAGTGATAATGCTGCTGGAATTCATAATTGTATCTTCTCAGCAGCAGCACTGCAGGTGCTCTCCATGTCCAACATGTGCGTAAGCCAGGTCCTTAGTCAACTTAAAGTTGCACACATTTTTCTAAGTTTTCTTTCATGAATCCCAAAGTTTGTGTGGAAAGTTGCTTACGCAGTTTTCCGACCCCATTTTGTGCGTAAGCAAGCTTGATGCATGAGACCCCAGGTGACTAACAGGCTTCTGCAGAGCTCAGTGAGCTGCTGAACAGGTGAACCAGCCACTGAATCAGGAGTACTGGAGCAGGGAAACAAATAAAACATGCTGGATAGCATCTCTCCAGGACCAGGGTGGCCTAGCCTCACTTAAACCCTTCACCATTCTCTACCTACTGCACGTCTATTTTTTTTTCACTTCTACTTTTTATTAATTGTGTTCCAGTGAATTAAAGAGAAGCTCCTGCAGATACGAGAATAACTTAGGTGCAGATTTGAAATGGTAAAAATGCTCTGCTGGTTTAAAGCCTCGA